AAACCCTCTTTGCCATTCCTGCCATATACTATGTGTAAAAAAAGTAGTAAAAAAAAGATCTTCCAGTGATATGTTCCTTCAGTTTTGTCGATTTTTTTTTTTAATTTAAAAATTTCCCTTTTAGTTGTCTATCCTTGTTCATCCAGACAAGAATGTTGATGACAGAGACAGAGCCCAAAAAGCTTTTGATAGTAAGTATACATAGATTTTTAATATATATCCTGGTGAGTGAATGCGTAATATTCATGCATTCTTAAACCACATTTCTTTAGATACAATATATATATATATATATAAAATAAATCTGGGCATTTTCAAAATGTAGCTATTTGTTTGTTGTGAATTGTTATATAAAACATTTACTCTACAGATGGAAAGCATTTTAGGCCTAGTGGTTAGGCATTTGACTTTGCTGGTTGTAGGTTCGAATCCTGTCACCAAAAATGCTTGTCTTTCCACCCGTGGAGGCGTTATAAAGTGATGGTCTATCCCACTTTCTTTTGGTAAAGAGTAGTCCAAGCATTGGTGGTCTTGACAAGCTCCCTTCCCTCTAATCTGTCACTTTTAAATTAAGAACAGCTAGTGCAGATAGCCCTCGAGTGGCTTTACACGAAATTCAAGAAACAAACAAAAAGCTTTTCACTATGTTTCTTTTCTTTTTAACTGTGTTTTAAATATTCATCTCTAAATAATGATAAACTTGTGTATGAAATTATAATACATAGAGTAATATGTGAAATATGTAAGGATCTTGGACACTAAAGTTAAGCATAAAACAGATAAAATTTTCCCTTTTACTTAATTGGTCACTGGAAAAAAAATGACTTAACTGTAGTTAAGAAAGAATAAGGCCAAATAAACTGTTGCTAATTATGACTTTATGTTTATGTTAATACATATTTCTCTTCCTTTTGTTGACAGTTTTGAAAAAATAGTTTGAAAGTATATGATTAATTGAATCAAGCGCTTTCATGACAGCAAAGTCAGCGTCAGTTTAATCTATTGCAACGTCTAATCGAAAATAGAAAGTCTAGGTTTTTTGATGCGACTGTACTTGTCAGTTTGGGGAATTCTCATTTATTGAGTGATAATTATGCAGTATTTCTATTTTGATTGTCAGTTATCAACAAGGCATATAAAACACTAGAAGATGAACAGTCAAGGAAAAGAGCATTGGACGTTGTTGAAGAAGCGAAAGGTCGAACTGATCAAATGGTAAGCTCAATGGACCGAAGCAAGTTGTTCTATACTTTAAAGCTATTCTAGTAAGAGAAGACTCGTAGTAAAAGTTTTATCATAGAAGTTAAATCTGTGAATGGGCAGGAATTGAACCTGTAACTCTGCTATTTGGACAGATGCTGTAACATATTAGTCTACTACATCTTCAATCCAGTGTTTTAATTTTCACTTCATGCAATATTAAGAATGGAATTTCATAGTGTTCTTGAGCTACAAGGTTTGTTTATTGTCATTTTCTTGTTGGAAATACCAGTTTTGGGTGTTTTGACTCGAGACATTTTAAAGGTGACTTACCATCTTGTGAGATTAAAAACTTTTTCTGAAGAAATTAAAACTGAAACCATACAGAATTCAAACCCTAGTGCATTAACTGTCTTCTACCACAGAATACTGAGATTATCCAAACTTGTATATATATATAATTTCTTCCATCCAATTGAATGCACCAAAAGAAAAAAAACTAAGTTAATATAAAGATGTAGCATTTTATGATGTGGTTATGAAATAGACTAGTGTAGTCCATGTTCACTACAAAATTTTCACAAGAATAGTGAATGTAATTTATGAGATAGAAAAAAAATTATTAGTACAATAAGGAACTTAAAAGTATTTAGGTTTCAGGTTTTAATGCTCTTGGTGGGCACAGCACAGATAGCACATTGTGTAGCTTTGTGCCTGGCTACAAACAGATAAATGCTTATTGTAAAATTATTAACTTTTAGACACAAACATGCTCACATCATTTAGTTTGTAGTGAGCTTTCTTGCGTCATCCATGTATGAGTTCTTTGTAAGTATTATTATTGTTGTTGTAGAATAGTTTCACTTTGTTTAATTGTATTGTTCAATATCAAGTATCATCACCTATGCATGTGTTCTTTGTAAGTATTGATTGTTGTTGTAGAATAGCTTCACTTTGTTTAATTGTATTGTTCAATATCAAGTATCATCACCTATGCATGTGTTCTTTGTAAGTATTATTGTTCAATATAGTTTCAACTTACCTTGTGTAATTGCATTGTTTAATGTCAAATCAAGTAACTCTTACAGGTGTTATTTGTAAGTTACTTATAAAGGTTGGTAGAGCCTTTTAAGCCTGATGAACATTAGTTACTCAAAACATCACTTAAGTAAATATATTCTTTTTTTTTTTGGTTGTTCTTGTCATTAAGCCTACTTGTTAGTACTACTAATTATTGATTTAACTGTATGCTGGATTGCTGATAAGACAAGTGTTGTAGGTAGGTTTAACACTTTGTATATTTCCTAGATATCAGAGAAGAGAAAGAAACAGAAGAAGGAAGGAAAGGGATCCAAAGTAGAAGAGGATGACCCTGTTAAAGTAAGTGTTACAACGTTTTTCTTGGATAAAGTCGTAAAATTAATAAGTTCGGTTTTCATTAAATCTTGGGAACAAAAACCAAATGTTCTGAAGGTAAACTTACTTGTGTGAGAGAATATTTAGACAAAGCAAAGTTCTTGAAAGGCATTTTGAATGCACTGGATGTTTTTTGGATGATACATTGAGCTGCCAGCACAAATCTTCAGATCATATTGTTCAGATTTTATCAGGTACAAATGCAGCTGTAATGCGAGTTGGAAATAAAAAGTAATGTAAAGTAGGCTTGAGAACATGGCTTTTTTTTTGGAGGGGGGGCTCTACTAGGTATGTATTGTGACATCATAATTCATTTGGAGTTCAAGCTGTGTGAATACAATGTTTATGGTCTTGTAACATGAAAAGGGACAAAACTTTGTTTGAGCTTTGATTGCAGTTGAAAGAAGGTTGATGACTCTTGATGTAGAAGGTTTCTTTGCGCCTAATATTTGTAGTTGGTTCCAATTGATGATGTGACTAGTATATTGTAGATAGTTTTGATTAGCATATCTGGACGTGGCAGATTTTTTTGTTGTTGTTAGAACATTTCTTAATGTCCAGAAAGATTTGAAATGGACTTTGATATCGAACTTTTCAACAATTATTTTTTGTGTTTACAATTTTTCTTTTGGAATAAAAGGTAGAACTGCAGTTATCTGGATCTGAATCCGTGGATTCTTAAGTTATTTTCTTTTCTCTTGTGTGGTTGGATGAAACTAATGGAGTAATTATATGATTGGAGGACTTTATACAAGTTTTCTATCTCAGATAGCAGTTTGCTGCTGTAACAGACCTTGGAGGTTCATTCAAATAGGCATTTTACAGTGTATTTATTTTTTATTTTAAACAAAAATTTTAAAGCGAAATTTGATTGCACATGTCATAGCTGAAAGAATAATAAAGTGATTGTTTATAAAAAGAAACAATATCTCTTTTTCATACTATAATTGTTAATGTGGTACATGTATCTTTACAAAGTTTGGCAGGTTTTTGTTAAACATTATCAAGTCTTTGTACACAAAAAGAAAATCAGATTTTTTAAATTAATAATTTGTCCATGAATATATGTAGTCAGAGTGTTGGCTGCTCTGAATTCAAAGTAATTTTCCTCTCAAGATAAAAAATATTTTTCTTCATCTAAAAAAAAATTCTATTTCATTTGCATAATCTCTAAAAACCATCTAAATGAATATCAAACATTTTTTAGTAAAGCTTTATATTTTGTTATTTTCTCTGTATGGGCTCAACCAACTTGATCAACCTTGTAATAATAAAGCTGATTGACCCATTTTTTCTTTCTAGAATGATTAAATTGTAACAGAAAACTACAATATACTCTCAACAGTATACATCTGTATCTACTTAAATTTATTGTTTTATTGCCCTTTGAACTGTGTTTTAACTAATAATCCCACCACACAAGTTGTAAGCATACATCATGGAGAATTTTTTTATTACTATTCATCATTATCTTTGACTTATTAACTATGTTTTGTTGCCAAGTTTATTCATATACATTGGTAATAAAATAGCTTAATTACATTTTGAATGTAACTCTGTTATAGGTCGTAACATGTGGTCTATTTGTAACAAGAAGGTTAATCTGAAATCACATTGAAATATGTGTATGTGTTTGATATCTGTAATATTTGACACTAGTGTTCATTTTTTGTCATTGTTGCCATTCAGAATGTCCATATTGATTCTTGTAAAATTATATTGATGATATTGTAAGGAATATGTACTTAGCTTTGATTCATCATATGTATGTGTGTGTGTGTGTTGTATTACAGTACAAGCACGCAATATATGTCATGACAATGAAACTTTTTGCGGACATGGAGAGAAAGAGGCGTCAGTTGGAGGAAAAGGACATGGAAATGAGGTTTGTTTTCTTACGTCAGTACGTGTTATTTTACATTACTTTAGTGGGAATAACCTTTAGCAGTGTCGAGAGTGTCTAGGATTTTCATTTTATTAGTAATTCAATAAAATATGCTCCCCTTTTATAATAAGTAAATTTCCAGAAACAACTTTGTTTTTTTACTTTTCTGTTTGTCTAAAGTAATACTGAATTTATTAAAAATAGTTGTTTATTTTGAGCTTTCTCACAAACATCTTCAATATTTTTCAATAGAGAAACAACTTGTGAAAGAAAGTGTAACTGTAACAGGATAATTTATTCTTCCTCGTACAGTGGCGGTTAGAGCATGTGACTCAATCTAAGGGTCATAGGTTTAAATCCCATCCTCAAACATGCTTGCCCTGGGAGAGTTGTAATGTTACAGTCAAGTGGCAGTGGGTGGTATTGCCAAGCTGCTTTCTCTAATCTATCACTTCAAAATTAAGAATGGCTAGTACAGATAGCCCTTCCGCTCAACTCTCAATCTAAGGGTCGTAGGTTCCAATCCCATCTTCGAACATTCTTGCCCTATATGGTTGTTATCTGGGCTGGCCACTTCTTGGCTTACAAAACTACTGGGCCGATCCCAAACTAGTTGGGATTAAAGTCATCACGGAGAAGAAGTGCAGGTAGACAAACCTTGAGTAGCTTTGTACAAATTTAAAAAAAAACTTACATATCTGGGAGCACATTCTAATGTACTTTGAAATAATTTTCTCAAGTAGAAAATTTTTATTTTATACAAAGAATTAGCAGAAGTACTTACTTTGTAATATTTCTTTAGCCATTTTATTTTCCATTTGTGAAGGTTATACCATTTTGCTTTTAATTTACTCCTCTTCATTTGTATTCAGAAAAAGAAAACGTGAACAAGAGATTGAAGATGAAGAGAAGCAGAAAATAGAAAAGGAGTGGCAGAAAAATTTTGAGGTATATTTCTTCCATCAAATTTTTCAATGGATATCATGTTTTTGTATTAACTTTTAATAAACCTGTAAGTTTGCTGTTTAGAAATGTTGATAACCCAGCTTAATTAGTATCTTGAAAAGTGCATTTGAAAGCTGTTAGTGAAAGCCACTAAATTTTACTAGTAGGTCCAGAGCTTGAAAGAATAGATTGTATTTGGGAAGCAAAATATGTTTATGTATTAGTAGTTTAAAAATGGAAGTCGGACAATGAAAACAGAAGCTCGTCAGCATTTTCGGTGGATTATTTGAACAACAGTGAGCATTTTATTTCTCTTGTATCTAGAAAACAATTTTAATAAGGAAATACTTGTTTTTAACGTTATATACAACAGGATTACGGATATTTAAATGATTCTTTCTCTAACTCCAGCCCCCAGGTGGCACAGCAGTATGTCTGCGGACTTACAGTGCTAGAAACCGTGTTTCTATACCTGTGGTGGGTAGAGCTCAGATAGCCCTTTGTGTTGCTTCGTGCTGAACTACAAACAACCAACCGCTAACTTCAACATTCTATGAATAACATGTTCGTGGCTGCGGTTATAATTTTAGTTTCTGGGATGTCGAAACATGAGGTTTTAGCCAATCGGTGAACTGCTCTAAATTAACTAATATTTAAGTTGGTTGAATATTAACCACAAATCAACTTGTTATTCAATAAGATTTTATCAATCTTGCAAAAAAAGACCAGTTAATGACTAAACATAAATATATAATATTTATCCTAAAATCTTTTAATGTCGATTAAACACAGTTTAAAACACAAAAATACATTTTTTCTGGTATTAATCATTAGAGAAATAAAGCCTTAGCAACATGAAATAAATAAATAAATGTTTATGAAGTTTAGTGATCGACAAACATGTTACTATCAGAAGTAGCTGTTCAGATTTATCAAAGAGTGTGAAATTATACAAACCTTGATTCTTGTTTATAGCATTGACTTTACTAATTAAATTTTAAATACAAATTCTAATCAGTTTTATAAATAAGGTTTTTATCCGTGGATGAGCAGCTCATAGAACAGCTCTGAGTTTTTTTTTGTTGTTTTTTTCAAGTACAAACTTTGACCGATTTGAGATCTAATTACAGTTTTGGACTCAGGAGGTCAAACCCTTTTGATTGATTAATATACTCTAATCCTGTCTAAATGAATTTCAATTTGAGGGTAAGCTGGTACAGATCCTGATGAGTAATAAAATCGTATTGGGTATCCGTGCTCCCCACGCTTGGTTATTTCTGGAGTACGAAAATGTAGCAAATAAAAAGGTCTCGTACATTAATTTACTCTAATCCCGTCGAAAAGAATTTCAAGTTCCGTGGCTTGTTAGTAAAAGAAGCATACAGGTTTTATATTGAACAAAAATACCATATACTGATTTACTCTGTACATTTTCTGTAATTCTAACTTTGTTTAAATTACTGTGAACCTGTATTTTTACGTGATTGAACTGTAATGATATGACTGAAAATTGAAAAGACAGCATTGATTTTACTTTCTATCTCGCTTCTCATTCCAGGTTCGTTATATTTTCACTTCTAATACATTTGTTTGAAAACCTGTATAAAATTTTTTTTACACTTTTAAGTCTTAGATAAAAGTTTACCCTAATTTTTGGTACAGTTGTTGTTAGTACTTTACTGAATTTTTATCTCTTTCATATATATATGCAACTTAGAACAACAAATAATATCATGCACCAAAGAATATGGACTATAATTTAACTGACTTTATAACTAAACACTAAGTATGTTGAATAATTCCCCTTAGAACGTTCGAGGTTCGGTTGGAGATGTCAACTTTTCTTTCTGTTAGATATAGATAATGTCAGATAGAGTTATTGATATGTTTTGTAAGTTGATATCTGACAGGAGGGTGTGGCGTGTGGATTTGACTTTGTGGTTTATATTTCTGTAAATCAAGATGATTGGAGGCTATAAGATTGGATTATGTCTCGGGAGTTTCTATACTATAACATTGTAATTTGTAGTAAAATTCACAAGTTGAAATAGGGGTGGAAAGAATGTTTAAATGGTCAATTTGGAGCAATAAAAAATTAAATCTTGTTTTAAAATTATCTTGGTAACTTTTTTTGATGCCAAGTTAAATGACATGAATGATTAACAAAAGTTGTGAAGAACTGTAAAATGTCATGACATACGAACTTTGACCTCCATCATTGCATATAAGGATATTGAAGGGAAGTTTTGTTTGAAATTGTTTCAAACAATTTCGTGAAAGTGATAATGTCTTGAGTGGTCAAAATGTAACATAAATACTGGACTTTAAGAGCCTTACAAATGTGTAGTGTTATATTTGTGTAAGTCTAATAAAAGATATGATATGTAAAATAATTTTCATTTTTTTACGAATAATTAAACTTGCTTGTATTCAAAATATTACAAGCAAAGGTGAAACGACTGAAATTGAAATCTTTATTGACAGGAAAGCCGAGAAAATCGAGTCAACAACTGGAAAGCTTTTCAACAGGGATCCAAAACTAAAAAGATGAAGGGTGGATTTAGACCTCCTAAGCATAAAGCAGAACAGAGATGATTTCCCTCACGAAATGCTCGACATTCTTTTTATCATACTTCATCTATCATCTTTCTGATTTCTGTGTAACCATCACCAGGAGATCATTGTCATGGGTGTTTGAATCAGATAATCCGATTCCGTGGTGAACAATTCATGATTGTATAAAAAAAAAACACCATTATTTGACAGAGCACAGAGCTTCTGAAAAACGTACTTTAGTAAGAATATAATTTTGAAGATGTTTTTTTGTTAGTATTTTGGTGTTAAGGATAAAATAAACATGACATCTTTTTCACAATTCCCTGTTGCTTCTTACCATATGAACAGAATCAAGAAATGTCATGTTGTTTTTTGAGGGTTTGATAACCTTAATTATAATACAGTACATTTAAAATGTAATTTTTATAAACAGACTTGAATACTTAATAGACCAACACATTTTTTTCTTCCTTAGTGTTACTTTCTCTTTTTTTTTCCCAATTTTTAGCACATGTACATATATCCATTATAATCTTTTGTTTCGTTTTCGAATATGCTCAGATTTTTATCATTAGGAGACTATTCTAATTAAGTGTATTTTTTTGGTAGACTTCCATGTTTTATTTTAATAAAAGAAACTCAAAATTAGTGCCAGTAAACTATTAAGTTTTCTCTACAAATTTGAAGTGTTGTGAAAGGTTTAAATGAAATATCAATTAACTGTAACTCGGTGAGAAACAGACAAAAATATTATGAACAACTTAATTTGGGTCATATAAAAGCTTATGAAGCTTGCATAAATATTAAAGATGATGAAAAAGAAATTCGGACAGTTTCTTCAAACATCATTTGTACAAAAGGTGGAATATTGAAAAATGTAATTTTTTTTATGTTCCAGATGTTTTTATTTTACATCTTGACAACAAATTTTGTTGAATTCTCCAGTCTATGATGCATGTCAGAATAAGAACGTAATTAGGAAAAATATTTTTCACACGTTTGCTATGTTACTTTGCTGTTCATCTACGTTTAGCGAGTTTTCTTCAAAACTTGGTGTTTTGGAAAAAAATTGCATATAATACTCTAGATGTTTGAAAAATGTTTACAGATCTAAAAAAAACTCGTGGCGATGGGTATCTCATTTACGATGTAATTTGTTGATGTGAAACACAGATAATTAAAAAAACATATTAGCATCAAGATAGTACTTATCTAATGCTGGCTTATTTCTAGATTGTATATCTAAATAAATAATGCAAAGTTAGTTGTTCGCGTCGAAAAATGTAGATTCAGACTAGAGAGTCTAATGTTGTATTTTGTAAGTTTTTTTTTGATGGAATGCATTTGAAGAAACATGGAAATTCCATTGAAAGTTTTAGTGTGTAAGAAAATGGTACTTTGAGTTTTGTGTTTCCAAATTTGCTTGTCTTTACTTTATATCTCTGAGTTTGATCGACAAGCCCTTTTCATTCAGATGTTTTCAAGTTTATTAGAAATAAAAAAATCAAGATGTATCATTTGCAAACAAATGTTTAAGTGTGTGTGAATTGTCAGGGAAATAAATAATTTTTAGTAACGTAATAGTAATATTGAAGATCAAATAAACACTCCATTTGGTGTGTAATTATTGTACTGAATATTATGAACGGGGCCAAATTGTGCTCAAATATGGCAGTTACAAATTCTGAAACGTTTGTTTCAGTCATTTATCTGTGATGGCTCATCTACTTTTGGTCTAAAAAAAGAGAAGGTTCTACCAGGAATTAGGGGGGGGGGGGTGTAAATATTAAATATCAGAATCATACACTCCTGACCTATAGAATTTGATGTCTGTCACCTGAAACAATTCTTTTAGACAAATTTGAGTAACTGTCGTATAATTCATTACACTTTGGAAAAACGAAGAAGAAATTAAGATGTAGTATCTTCTCTTACCCTACAGGTCGAATATTTATTGGTTTCAATTTCTTTTTCTCTGAGTCATGAAATTAATAATATGCTCAAGCATTCTTGGAACACTGATAGAAAATGACAGTTGTAAAAAAAAATGTTTTGTTAACTTGTATAATTATGGAAGTTGTACGTATACGTGATTTTTTTTCTAATGAAACCGAGTTTGATTCTTTATGAATATACTTTAGCACAACCGAATAAAATACTGCTTACACTAAATTCATGTTTTTTTTATGATATACAAGCTTACTCTCTGTGAATTTAATTTACTACTGATAATTTCACGAACTCGTAAATATTTCAGTTTTACATATTTAACGTATCTTGCACTAATCTTATCAAAACTGGACACTGAAAGAAACTTTTCTCTGACGTAGAATGGGTTTCTTTGTCTCTCTTCTCCTCCCTTAAGATTATCCGGTGAGACAGAGGTAAATGGGTGGACTTACTACTTTTAAAATCCAGTGCTTTATTCCCTATGGTGGACACAACAGATAGCCCAAAGTGGCTTTGCTCTAAAACGAACAAAAAACAAAACTCCATAAAAATGCACTACCTGCAAAATATTTCAATGTAAAAATTGAAGCATTCTCTCACCGGAATTAATAATAATAACAGGTACATTGTATTTTCAAATAATGTCTTCTATGTCAGTAATCGCAATTAACTTGATTTTACAAAGTTTTATCTGTCAGACCAAATCCTTTGTTTCCATGCAGATGTTGCTTGATATGTATGAAATTGATCTACATATCACTAAACACCCATGGATGACTCTATACACGTGTAAGACCATTAAACACTGACATCTACTCATTAGTTTATAGCAGGCTACTTCCGACTTCTCGGTAATTCTCACAGTTTACAATGCTAAAATGCGAGTTTCTATACCCGCGGTAGGTAGAGTATAGATAGCCCATTGTGTAGCTTTGTGCTTAACTACAAGCAAACAAACAATCTCTGGCTACCGCACAAATTACTTTGATAATATTTTCGGGTTACACTTTGAGCTACAAATTAGTAGCTGTAGTTTGTAATATGCTGCCATCAAACTCAACTCGTGTTTATTTTCAGACAACATGAAATAAACCCGTCGGTGGTAAGTCTGCAGGCTTTCTCGCACTGGCTATCGACATTCTTGCTCAACCCGCAGCATTAAAGTCAGGTCAGAAATATAGACAGCTGGAACAAAAATCAACTGAACGACTTTCTTGACCACGTGTTATAACAAAACTGCATAACTTCAAAAGATTTTGAAAATTTTCTAAATTAAGATCGGGAGGAAAAAATGCATTATATGCCTATTTAACAAACGGGGACATACATTTAGTAATTGAAAGTATCGGAATATACGTATTCTTTCTTCGGCAAGTTATATTAAACAAGGTAAAATATATACAAGTTTATAGATTTCCAACATTTTATAAAGAAGAATTAAAATACAAAGTAAAAGATGAAACAAAAAATAGGGCCTGGCATGGCCAGGTGGTTACGGCACTCGACTCGCAATCTGAGGGTCGAGAGTTCGAATCCCTGTCCCATCAAACATTCTCGCCCTTTCAGCCGTGGGGGCGTCATAAAGTGACGGTTAATCACACTATTCGTTGGTAAAAAGAGTTGGCGGTGGGTGGTGATGACTAGTCTTACACTGCTAAATTCGGGACGGCTAGCACAGATAGCCCTCGTGTAGCTTTGCGCGAAGTTCAAACAAAACGAAACAAAAATATAAATTTTAGAATTGGTATAGATCACGACATGTATGATACAGTTGTATAAGTTCTCTACACCAAATTTAGCTGTAGTAATGCTAGAGTTAAGAGATCTGTTATAATGTATAGAGTTTCTTTAATTAAAATTTTATTATTTGATCACCTAGATAATTTAGCAATTTGTATTCAAAGTGGAATGGTTATCACTTTCACTATGTGTGTGTGAATTGTAGTCTGGAGGATTTGATAATTGTTTTCTATTTCTGCTAAAATTCTCCATCCCAGGCACCATTCTAGTAATCCTTCTCGGAACCCTTTCCAACAATTTAATGTCTTTCCTAAGGTAAGGAGCCCAAGACTGAACACAATATTCCAAATGTGGCCTAACCAAGTGACCTGTATAATGAAATTATAACGTCTTTAGATTTATATTCAGTATTTGTGTAGATACAACCTAAAATTTTATTTGCCCATCCACTAACAACAGTACACTGCTTGGATGGCTTTAGAGACTGATTGACTATTACACCAAGATCCCTTTCCTTCATAACACTGTTTAGGTTATTCTCATCCA